AAAAACTATTAAAAATATCGATACCGATTAGAATACAAAAGAAAATAGAAATATTTTGACATTTGTAATTATAATACAATTATGGTTGTGGATATGAATTCTTTGAGACACAATAATGTACTATTTTTTCTTTTCGAAAAGTATGAAAATACCTGTTCGGAATAATAAACTAAATATGAATTATCGTTATCATCGAATATATATACATAAATTCACTGCTTGTTTTAATTGTAAACTATAGAGGACGAATCGAAAAATTGTTTATGTTTGATGGCATAATACTTATTTTTATATATATTTTTTTTTTGAAGAGAACTTATTAAACATTTCAATTCAGTAATCATCTTACCAATAAGTACATCAATAGACCAAAAAAAGAAGACCTATTCGAGTATTTCAAATTTTTTACATGCATTTGGAGTTATTCGCATCCTTATGAAGTCATTGAAAATGTTTTCAAATGAGTTTTTCTTTCATTGTTGTATATACAGAGTATGTAATATATACAAAATACAGGATAAACACAAATAGAAAAAATAGACATTCACTACATTTCTATGGATGGAATTAAAAGATTGTACTCAAAACTTAAGTACATGAAAAGAGAGACGAATATGCATTCTACGAATTATTTCGATATATCATTAGTCAGTCATAATACACAGTCAAGCAATATTATCGAAGTGTAGTGTTTATCTCTATAACTGAGGACTGGAACAATTCTAAGATTTAATCTTGTTGAATTAAGACAATATATCATATAAATAATTTTGAAATGTGTATCTATAGCTTACTTTTCATTTAACAATATCTATATCGATTGTTATAAATAAATAAATCAGAAAAATCAAGTAATATATTACTTTACATAATTCTAAGACTGTTCAGATGAGATAGATGATTACAGGCTTCGTAGTCCTCCTATATTTCCTATATTTCCTATACATTTAAAAATGCTTCTATGAATTCCTATTTTTCATGCATTTTTCCTATATTTCCTATATTTAGAAGAAACCTAATTTTTTTTTAATGAAATATATGTTGTTTCGATCAGCAACAAGTCAGAACTTCTGTACATATGTCATTATACATTTTAAAATAAAACGAATGGCTACTGGCGATAGTATATCACTATTTTATAATTTATCGATACACTCACCGTTGGAAAGAATCATTATTTTGTTTCGAATTGTTTTATAGAAAATGACTAATTTTATAGTCTTTCTAATGAATTTAGTGTAAGATTTCACTTATAAATTATACTTATTTTCACGAATAGTACAAAATTGTTCTTTGGATTAATTCTATCTTGAATTACATTTATTTGAAGATATAACTTTATATCAAAGGACACTAAATTCAATCTAGCGTCGTTTGGCGTGGGTGGAGAAATATTCATACTGACACCAACCCATGCCCACACCCTAGTGAATATTTGTTAATAAATTTAACAGAGACCATGTTTTCTTTTAATTACTTTCAAATCGAACTTTTTGAATACCTTCTCTAGTAATTAAAAAGTGTATATTAGTTCTCGATTTTTTGGCAACTACGAGTGAGATAGCTAGTTATGATGTTATGGACACGATAACGTTTGATATGAGTCTAATAAAAGCTTATTACTAAAGAAAAGAATTCCTATATATTTCCTATATTATTATGAAAATCCTATATAAATGCTGCTTTTACAATCCTATATTTTCCTATATCGTTGGGAGAGATTGCTACGAAGCCTGATGATAGATGATACAGATGAAGAATTACGTTCAACTGTTAAATCAGTTAGTTGTTGATTGAATATATACTCTAATAAATTATTAAACATCCTACAACCATCTAATTTTGATAATTTCTACATCTATTTTTCAATAAAAAGAAATACATCACATAACTATACAAATAATAATAGTTTTGTTAGCGTATCTAATGCACTTTAATTACTATATAAATAAATTTTTAATGATTGACTACAAATCTGTTATTGATCGGCATTTTCTATAATATAATTTGTTAGTCGTCCACTATCAAATTGAATATAAACATACCTAGAAAATAAATGAATATTGTTTATTGGACAATCTTCTTCTCTACTGAAATTAGTGGCGTAATATTTGAAATTTGAATGTTATCAGGCAACCCAACTGTTTTCTAAAATATAATGAATTCATATTCTGATAAAATTTTATCCGATAAATACGATAATAGTGGTTCTGAAGAAAATGATTCACTAATTGAAGAACTTCACCAAAATTCAATGAATGATGGGGGCGGAGGTCAAAAAAAGTGAGCTCCAAATTTGAAGCTTACGAGTTTCGAGTTTTTCAACATTTTTCGCGAAAAACTATACATTCATAAACTCCAAATTTGGAACACACTTAGCTTGATCATGATTGGGCATGGGAGCCTGATAACTGAAGTTTTTCAACTTCTCTCAAGTATTATGATGGACATGCATTAAGAAATAATACAATTGAACCGATAGATTCATTTTTCGAATTTATATCTCCAGATGTGATCAAATTAATCATCGACAAAACCAACATTTACTGAAAGCAACAAACTGGAAAGAAATTGATAAAAATAAAATCGATACATTTCTCAGTATTGTATTGATCATGAGATTTCACGAACTACCAAGAATGCGAGATTACTGGAGTCAAGATAAAAATCTGTTCACACCAGCTGTTGCCAATACAAAGACAAGAAACGACTTCCAAAGTAGGGCTGCCAAATATAAATTTAGAAAACCAGGAGTTCATCGAAAAAAAACTAGGGATTGATCAGGAGATACTTGTTTGAAACCAGGAGAATAAACCAGGATGTGACTTTCGATTCATGACTACCTGTCGAGATACTCCACCCTTCCGTTCTACATCTAATGATACTTGTCTTGGACAAATATTAAGTGGCTTTACTTTGGCTAAGTGCCTTACAGCTCCAGTTCCTTCTGCACCTTTTTTCCTTCGTCAACTTCATGACAATCTTTGGATCACATCATCTCCTAAATCACTTCACTGTATAAAGATACCAAAAACAGAATTTGACCCATCTTCTTACCAAACTTCAAACCTTAATGAAAAACTAATTCTGCCACCTGTTGCTCTCGTTAATGTCACCCCCGGTCTTACCATCGCTTGCCATGATTTCCTTCTCACCGGTCACCCGGTTGAATCATCTATTCCATCAATCGTTATACTATATTATAATACTGTATCTCGTAATAACAACACAATATTGGATATATATTAGCAACAATGTTTGGTCTAAGACTAAATTCATGGATCGTGAGATGAAAGAACTTATACACCGTATCGAAAATTCACCATTTAAATCTCTCATAACCCTTTCTCATCCAATTTATCTATCCTCATTTAGTATGATAATTATCGGTCTTGTTCTAATATACATTGCCGGCACCCTTTTGTACTACCGTCGTCGACACTCTCCCCACCACAAACTACCAGAACTTAACTTGATCTTACCTCCCTTTTCACCGATCACAAACACAACATAAAAGCTAAGCAAGAATCGTAACAAAATAATTTAAAAAAAAAGAATCAAATCCGCATTCACATCCTAATTTATTCTCTTATTACAGCAAATGCCATCAAGTGACATTCAAATTAACTATTCCATGTTCTCCTCCATCTGGTCAATGATTCAACATTTGAATGGCAATAAGCTGTCATTCGTTCCACCATTCGACACCACTATTTTATTAATCCGTGATTGGATACATACTCAATTCTTGAGGGTGGGTGTGGGTGTCTTTTGTTGTTTCACACCCACACCCACCATCATTTTCCATATATTCTTTAATTTCAGTTAATATGGAGTCTTTTTTCTTTAATAAATTCGCATGACGAAACAGTTTAGCAGTAGTTAAATTATAGAGCATCGAATCGGGTGCTTGTTTGATAAGCCGTTCTATTTCGAAAGCTGTTTTAATTATATCGAAAGCCAACTTGTTTTTCTAAAGCAGAAAAAATATAAATCAAATGAGATAGGAAACCTACAAAGAAATGAAGATAGAATCTCAAAACATATATCAGTTGAGATAGCTATATTTAATCGATATGTACGACGAAGAAGAAATTATAGATAAAGAAACAAAAGAAGATGAAACTTTCTGTTGATGAATATTTTATGCATGTTAGTATATATACTCTCCTAACAATAGTCGGTTTATTGTACGAAAGAGAAAAATGGGTAAATGTTCATATGAGACAAAATAGAAGGGTCAAACGTAGCAACGGCTGTTTAAAAATATTTCTTTTTCTGGCATTGATTCAATAGAAGAAAAACGATATAGAATAATATCGATTTGGCATAAAAATATGACTGTAGATAGACAAATATAACACTCGTCAATACTCTGATAAAGAAGTTAATGAATACTATTTTATGTTGGATATTATTTATGATGAAATTCACTAAAAATTCAAAGTTTTTATAAAGATTAAGTGAAACTCTTACTCTTTATTGTATTTGATTCATAGTCCTTTGATTTTTCGATTGATAGAAATTGATTTGAAGATATTTCAACAAATATATTTATTCGCTGATAAATATCATGTTCAAATTGTTGTTGAAATATTTTCTTAAATATTTAATGGTTTTGTAGTTCATTCAGCTTTTATGGTAAATTATTTATATTTGATGTATCCCGTTTATTCGACATTCATTAAATAATTCTTGTTCTATCTGCACCTGTCGAAATGAAAGAAAATATTTAAAAAAATAAGTTTTTTTTTCAATTGGTTACTGTATATATATATACATATCTTTTTTTTCTTATTTGTAGCAATTATTGATGACTATAGTGTCGTATCACCACCAGAAGGTTATCTAGAATATGATTATGAAACCAAAAAGGCATCGTGGGACTTAAATGGAAATCCTCATTTGGTCAACTCTACTAGTAATCTTATTAACTTATTTGAATATATTTTTATCACATATGATACAACCCAGGTCAAAAGCAAAGGCAACGTTAACGATGTAAAAACCGGTACTTTCTCGTCGTCGTAATCCTGCATCCTAGAAAACGGCGAAAATAGTGTGTAAAACAGTGACTGTTTTATAATCGTTTCAGGCCGTTTTCGATGGTCGGAATGATCGTCTTGGAAAGTCAACATTGTGAACGATTTATTTCGAATCTTATCAATACAAACAAATACCGGTTCATCTCGATATTTGAAGGAAACACTCTCATATTTTTATTTCTAATAGAGACCACATATTTGACGGTCCATTAATAGTTGAATTATACAAATTACCAGAATATAATTCAAATGATTTTCATCCGCTTAAATACAAGTACTTGTTTTGTTTTTTAATATGAGAATATTTTTTGTAAATAAAGAATGACAGGTGTGAATGATCAAGTTGTGCTCAGAATTGGTGAACTATATATTGACATTAACAAAAAGATGAACACAGATCTCGAAAATGAATTAGATCGAATTATATATTCTGTTGAATAGGTTTATTTCTTGAGTAGAAGTCATAATTTAATTTATTTTTAGAGTTACAAGAGCTTGAACAAGTAGAAGAAAATGCAAAGAAAGAAGTTCGAGAAGCCAAAGATGAATCAGATAATGCTCTATGGAAGGCAAAAATGCTGAAAAACAGTTTTAGAGCAGAAAAGTGAATTAAAGCATGAATATGGATTCACACAAAGAAGTTTTTCTTTTCTGTTTCTTTAATAAATAAGTAGAAAGATATTCTTCTCTCAAAAATACTAGTAATCGGTTTCTTGTCTATTAGATGATAAACATTTGAGTTAAATGAGTGGATTTGATTCTTGTTCTAATTTAAAAAGAAAACTTTAATAAGCATTTTCTAAGAAACTGATATGATCTGAGTATTTGTCATTTATCAATATATTATTTATATTGCCAGCTAGTGTGCAGCATTAATTGTTCTTTACAATTTATCGAACAAATCGAAATAAACTAAATTTCATACATGATAAAGGAAAATAAAAAAAGAACTCTTTTAAATGCACAAATGTATCGAGTATGAAAAATCGCTTGTAACAAATCTTGGATTATTACAACTGATTCTAAGTTCAGTTACACATGATAAATATGGTTTTTCTTTATTTAGTAATTATTCATTACAATCAGTACTTATACTATCCAAGTTAAGTGAGCCCACACGAGGATATTTAGTCATTGTATATAATTATCTGTTGTCAGATGAAAGTGAGTTGATATGACGCACTGACTGGCGTTAAAAATTTACGATACAAAACTGATTAAGTAATGGAAAAGATCAGACAATCCAAATATGTATTGTATCAACAAATGTGTAACATATTTGAATATAATATCTCCAAGACAATCAAAGACAAAGAACAGTGAGAAGATATGAGATACAGCGTTACAATTACGAATATAATTTATGATACTAACCATCGACTTTATCTTCGCTGAACACATAATAAAATAAATCAATATTATCATGATAAGTTAAAATATAAAAAGTGAATTCATTAACATACGATAAAAAAGAGTCAAAGTTTTTTTCGTCATGCTGATCAATTGAGCTGCAAAATAATGGCGAATAATTAAAAATATATGTAGCAAGACATTTTAGAATCTAGTTGAGTTTGGAATAGTATAATATATTTTTAAATATTGAAAAAAGTGATGATGTCTGTAGTAGAAAATAGGATATATAATTTATTAGGAACGATATTAATCAAACACGTTCTACAATATATTTCAGTGAAATACTTATATCGAACATTGATCCACATTTGTAGGAATATTAGTAGAATTATTAAGATTCTTTCCTGTATGTAATATTTAAATTCGTTTTGATAAAATATATTTATTTATAAAAGATATCTTTTGTAAACATCGTCCTGAACAAGAAAATCAAAAATCAAAATTAGTTCTATTTGTAGTTTAACCTTCTTTAAATATGTACATATAAGGGAATTGAAAATCTTCGCAAATTTAAAAAAAATTGTATCAGAGCAAGTGGCGATGTTTCAAATAATATGTAATAGATACAGTCTATTTCCTTCAAAATCATTCATAAATAATATTTTTCTAAGAAATTATCGGACAAAATAATTTCAGTTTTAACATTTTTTAGAGCCGTTAATAAATACCTATTAAAAATATCTCCTTACAGAGCACAAAAAAACAAGGCTATAGTTAACAACAACAAAAAATAAATTAGGTAAGTACATTATATATACAGAAATAAAACAATGTGCGTTCGATATATATGTTAATATTTTGTATACACGGTTGATTGAGTAAACAAAGACAATGAAAAAACACGTTAAGTGTATTCAAGGATACCGCATATATATCGTAGAGATGAGAAGAGTCATTATTTCTCTCTGACTAAGCTACTATTACTATCTATTTATTATCCAATGTACGTCATACGAAGGAAGATTTGCTGTTTTTGTGAACATTCATTGGATAAAAGGAATGAAATTGTGTTTCTCTCCGAGTAATTTATATTTTATATAAATATACGAAGAAAAAAACCACTCACAATGAAGGATTGACTATTATTTTTTGCGCACCTAATTTATCTTCCCTATTGATAAAAACAGTTTATTTTTCTTCTACTTCTAAGGGTAATCAGTTGCTTATACGCTTCAGCAGAAAAAAA